AATACAGAGATTTAGTTTTCTATGTTTTTAGACTGAGTTGGTTCAGATTCTCCAGTATGTTCATTCTTGCCATTGGGGTGTGTGTTGGAGATACGAATAGTCTGCATTGAGAATGTCTGGATCAACATCAGTGGTGGCTGTGGAGAAGCAGGCAGACAAAGCTACAGGTTGGGTCTTCATTTCTGGGTCTTGAGATCTGATTTCATCTCATTATTGAAGACAGAGCCGAGATTTCAGCCATACAACATCCAGTTTGTGTGAAGTTGAGTGAAGGCAATTGAGTGACAGTTTGATTATTAGAAAGACATTTGTGTATCTGATCAATGTGGGCAGACTGTTGAGATCAACAGAAGGCCACATCTGTGTATTGTGTAGTTACTAATTTCCAGGTTGGGCACGATTAAGTTTCCTGGAAACATCAGACAAGTGCCAAAGTTGGGCCACTGTGCTGGAGTTTAGGGTCTAAGACCTGTAACATCTCACTTCAAGACATGGTGCTGCTGGAATAATCAAAGGAGAAGCATAAAATATATAAGGATAAAAGAAAGGCAAACAAACTTACCTCTTGTGCATCGTCCTGTGGAGAAGCAGCACTTGACACAGCTTCTGCAAACACATGCATTTAGACAGTATTTGTTAGTATTACTGATGGAGGCTTCACTGATGCTGCTGCATTCCTACAATGTCTGTTGGTGTATGGGTGTGTGTCTTACTCAGTTGTCTCCTCATAAGTCTCCACAGGATGATCAGTGTGGTTAGTATGGCAATGACACCAATAGTTGCGTACACACCACTTCCTGTCCAAAGACAAAGAAAGAAGAAGATGTCTTAAGCAGAAATCTTTCCCACAACATATTACACTAAGAGCAGTTTACTCATCACATCCTCTTTGCTATAAATGAATTTTCAAAGAATTTAACACTTCTCCCCCATCAAATACGTCAATATTAAGTTTCTATTGATGACCAGAATCCTGAGACTATAAAAAAAGTAAGAAAATACAAAGATCAACATTGGACTGAAACACTAAAGGATGATAACAACATGTGTGCACATGTGCAATATACAGTATACAATGTACATCATTGATTTTGCTATTCATCAAAACACAGAGACCATTTAACATAAACTTGTGTTGGATAACAGGCTGTAGCTGCAGGTCAGAAAAGATTACATTAATTATCAGTAAAATACATGTTTTAATATATTGACCATGGTGCTGCAGTAGCATTATATCATTAGTAACTTGCATTAATCAACAATNTGAGATGACTTGTTGTTGTAAATATGTGCTATACAAATAAAATTGAATTGAATTAACTTAAAATCGGTTTGTAAAAGAAAACATAATTCTGCGAAATAGTGAAGTACGGCAAAACAGGCTAGCGACTTGTAAGATCAACTTTAAAGAAGATAAAATAAATTCAAAATGCTAAAAAAAAATAAGACCACTAAGAGCTACCAATAGCTATTGAAAACATGCTAAGGGTTTTCTTAAAAATATCAATGGGGCAAGAACCTTTTTTTTATTTCAAGAGGAAAGCTATTCCAAAGCTTCAGAGCAGCTCAATCCTGCAACGTGATCCTTTCCTTGTCCCACAAGGTTACAGGAAATAATGAAACCTATATGCCAAAATTTAAAGTACATGAACACAAAAAAGAAAAAAAAACACAAACAAAAATCGACAGTGTTCTTGCAATTTTAATGAAACGTTGTCAGAGTTAAATGCATGGGGGGCATGAACAAGTTTAAAATAACATTACTGTGAAATAGTGATGCGGTGCCTGATAGCTGATAAATTTAGCAGAGGGGGCGTTTACTTGCAGGCTGTTTCCTGCTCTTCTCTTTGCTTGATGAGTACAATTGAAAGTCTGAGTCAAACAGAAAAGGTTAGCACTTGGTTTCCCACTGACCTGGATTTACACTCGCCGCACACAGCAGTAGCACACGCTGCTTACAGTGACATGCTATACTCATTATGCTCATAGCTAACCACAATAAAGTACATCAAAAACACATTGCTAATTATTTGAAATTGGTAAAATATTTATTCTTTGGAGAACAATACTAATAGGGGGAATGTCAAAGTTACCACATAAAAAAATAAAAATAAAATAATTACACTCACATTTCAATACACTGAGAAGAAGTGGTGTCTCTGCTTTCTAACAGAGAGCCTCAAGGTGATAATGGAAACCTATCAAGTCATCCTGCTGTGAAATCACACCTAAAAACACAGCTTTCTGTTAACTAGTGAGCTTCAGAAGTGCCTGACTTTATGCTGACCTATGCTGTCTTTACATTAGCATCAAGCTGAAACGATACATGCATGAATAATATCAATACTCTCATCTAACTCTCTGCAATAATTTGAATTTTTTCCCCCTCAAAAATGCAGAATTATTGCTGCACATAGTTCACAGATTACAGTGCAAAACTCATTGTATGGATTTATGAAGAGCAGTCGACGTTCTGAACAGGTTGTTGCGTTACATCCATTTCACACTGAAATACAAACAAATAGAGTTCCCCCAAAACAGAAAGCTTGCTAAAGTAAATCTACTCATCTGACAGTAATGCATAATAAAATGAAATTTAAAAAGAAAAACAACATCAGCTCACTCAGTGACCAACTCATGTAAAAGTACAGATGCATCACATGACTGTATGTGACGATGACTGATACTGAAAGAGAAACAGAAATGGGTGGACCTCACACTAGATGTTAAATTTAGATATCAGTTTGAGTTGAGAGATGAGATTATTTGTGGACTGTATGGTGATTCGTTGGTGAAAGAAGCTTTTCCAGATACAGAGAAAGCTTCATGTCATACATGACACACTGACGGCAGCAACCAGAAGAATTCATTCTTACGTTAGTTTCCTGTTGACTGAAGCGTCTCTATGCTGCGTTTCGCTCTGTGTGGAGGATGCTTGTGTTAGTCTCCGTGAGGACGAATTTTAGTTTGAAAACCACATTGGAGATGGAATTTCGGAAGGTCATCCACTTCTGGGAAGGTTCTCTTTTGTCTTATTCATTGCAAATAATGTATTTTGCAGTGGATCTGCAGAGTCGGAGAGCCTTGGCATTAGCTTTGAATCCTTTCTGTCAGCGTCTTCCTTATCTCCTCTTGTGGTTTTATACATATGTACAATGTACTGCTAGTGAGACCTTTTTTTCTTTTCTTTTTTTAAACTCAGTGCTTCAGAGAATGGTCTATCGAGGTGATGGTTTGACTGAAAAGGGCTTTTAGTAAGCAGGCCTGTAACTAAGAGGGTGAAGACTTTTTCACACAGACCCAGTCAGTATTAATGCTGCTCAGATAAAAGACTGTATTCTTAGATCTGAACCAGTTAAGTATGAGACACCCACAAAAATAGAAAAAAATATGAGGGGGTCAAATACTTTTTACAACAACGACAACACATTACTATTATACTTTCTCTTTTCTTTCTCTCTCTCTCTTTTTCTCATGGTTTGTTTCCTTCCTTCGTTCTGCCTTATCTTAACGTGGTATTTCAGGAAACAGTTTTATTTGCGTGGTTTAAGTTGACATCATGTCAGCCTCATAAAGGAGCAGAATCACAAAGTGAGTGCTGCAACAATTCTGTTAAATATGAATTAAATGTGACCTTTGTTTCTTGCCCTCACTTTCTTAGTCTTCTGCGGCTTGTATTTCTCAAGTTAAGATTAATTTACACTACGGTGATATGAACTAT